TGTCTTGCCCGAGTCCGACCGAAGCCCGACCCGAAATTATTTTTTTTTACCGAAACCCCAAACCCGTGATTCCTCGAACTCGGGCACTCGGTATTTATCAGTGATGGTTTTTTCCTATCTAAATAGGGCTAGCTATTCGCAGTTTCTATACAGCATTGCTGTCCAGGTGCTGAATCGAAGCGGTTGCCGCACGCGTTTTGTACCACACAACATATTGTCATATATGATACACTAATACCACAGTCAGTATACAAACGCATGTCAAACACAGAAAGAACGCCAACGTATATGCTCTGTGTGGTACGAACGGAGTGTGTTGCGCGTGCGGCAACCGTTCCGATTCAGCATCTGGGCAGCAATGCTGTACAGACGCTGCGAATAGCTAGCGCTATTCAGATAGGAAAAAACCATCACTGGTATTTATTGAATTTTCGGGTCTAAGGTCCCCGTATTTTTTTTAAGAAGATTTAACTGATACAAAAAGTGAAAAAAATGGTTCTAACATTATTTTTTTCTGTTTTTCGCGAGATTTTCTAAATAATTTCCAGAAAAACACTCAATTTTGACACAAATCGGATTCGGACGCCCATGATACGTCCGAAATATCCGAAAAATCCGAACACCCGGAGCATCTGGTCCGAATCCCATCGGACCCGAACTTTTTTCGGGTCGGGTTCGGGCGGTCATTGGTCGGGCGTTCGGGTCGGGGCAGCGTTGCGACCTCTGGTGACAAGTAGCTCTAGTGCGGCAAACCACCAAATGTCTCTCTATTTTCATTTTTTAGACGTAAGTCGATATATCTCATGTTCAAATCATACGATTCTGATTAAAATTTCTTAGTTTGGTCCTCAGACAAACCTGGGCGGATAGAAATATTTTTTACTTTCAATATTTAGGATGACGATGCTGATACCTACATTAAAGCGATGTGTTAACGCATTTCAAAACTTAAAAATTGGATTATTGAGGTGAGAGCAAATTTTCTGAGAGAGTGAAAGAGAAATTAAGAAGGCACTATGTCCACCAAACCAATATGCAAAAAGTGGGCAATAAATCCACTTGTGGCTGCCACTTTAAGTGGCATAGTCAGATCATTTACTTAATTCTAGACGTTATATTAAGATATTTTCAGCGAGATGAATCAACTCAGGCGGCTATCGTCAGGCACTGAAATGAAGTAGAAACAATGAAAGTGATTGTTATAGTGATGGACACAATGAAATTGTTTTTATAACTATAACAATCATTTCTTCTGTTTTCACTTCATTTCAGCGCCTGACGATAGCTGCCTGAATTGATTCATCTCGCTAAAAATATCTCAATATCATGTCTGCTTCATTCATTCAATTCACGCGCACACATTGAGAGTAATGAATTTTTTTTTGGGAAAAAATAGTCAACATTTACCTCATCCCTATAATTATATTGGTTTTTATTATTCCTATTTATACTATCTGATATTGATGATGCTGATGTGGTTTCTCGAAATATAACGCCTGCATCCTCGTCTTGTATTTGTTTTAGTCTTGGCTCTATTGCATAGCCCGTAGCACTGTGTTACAGATAAGAAAAAAGTAGAAAACAAGATAAAAACACAAGGGGGCTACTACTACAACAACATAATTCATATAATTCCATCTAGTACAAAAATAATTCCAGATAATTCCATATAGTTCAAATACTATTTGACAAATAGTAGTATAATGCTTAAAGTGCAGATGACTTAAATTAGATGCTTATCTATTCTAACATATGTCCACTAAGTTCTTGCACAACTTACAGGCGTTTATTGCGCTATATAAACCAAATCAATAATTATTTAATCAGTTTATCACGATTGTGACACAAAAGTGAGGTTATGTCAACCAATTCATTTTTATTAATTTAATATTTTTGAATATTGTGGACAGAAAATCTCACAAAATTAAAAAACAAAAGATTTTTTATTTTAAAAAATGTAAAAAATTAAAATCTATTTATTTCTACTGTTTTATTTTAACAGTTTAACGTAGTTTAATCGATTCATTATGATTTTGCCAAACCGTGACGGCCATATTGTCACAAACGTCAATTAGTACTCGGAATACGCATCAGAGGTGTTGTTAGCTACGGGCATGATCAGGCTTCGGTAAAACCTCCATTAGATACTCATTTATCAACGAAATATTGTTGTAATCGATGGGATTCGTTGAGAACTATTGGATTAAAGACAAAATTGTGCTTTACAAGCAGAAAAAACCACACTAATGGCTCACTTCTTAAAATACGAAATTTTCCATGAAAAAAGGACCATCTGTTTAACTTCACAAAAAGACACCAAATTAATTATTTTTCTTCTGTTTTTGGCTGTATGTTATAGGCGGGGGTCCAAAATACTTGGAACGTGCAACAATTGGTTGGAAGGTTTGAGAGAAAGTTGAAAGAAATCGACAAATTGGTCTGCCAAAGCATGATTTTGATGGATCGACACATACTGAGAAAAATCGAAGACAATGGTCGGTTCAATGTAAAGTGAATGTGCTATTCGATAGCCTATGAATAAAGGTTTATACCAATAAAAACGAATTTGATATTGTGTGTTTGTTGTTCAAATGGCGTACGTCTGAATTTGTGCAAAGACTTTATGGACATATGTTATTCAGATATAATAATATTCAAACTATTTTATTTTTTAGAATAAAATCTCATCGCATTTATTTTATTTTATTTCGTTGTTTAAATTTTAATATTTAAATAGTTTTCTATCGAGTGTGAGTATATAAACATCAAAACTAAGTCATCTGTACTATTCTATTGTACTACGATTTGAACTATATGGAATTATCTGGAATTATTTTTTTACTAGATGGAATTATATGAATTACGATGTAATAATGGTTTCCCCATGTAAAAACAACAATAAAAAAGGAATGGAGAACGTAACAAGAGAAATATCAAATCGGCAAACGTTAGCACCAATTGAAAAAATTGAATTGGTGGTCTCTATGCGATGTGGAAACATATCAAAGCAGCACAACCGTTGAACCAAACAATATATAAAAAATTACTAAAAATCAAGCAAAGCTGAAGTGTTACACTTAAACTTACCCAGGAATTATTCGGTTTACATTCTCTAGAGACCGTTTTATGGACATGCGACCTGCTTCATCCAGCTTACTCTCTTTTGATTGTCGAATGGTTTCCTAAAAATGTACAAAGTATGTATATATACACAGAGATGTACAAGGAAACAAAAAACTCAGTAATGGAGTGATCCAATTTAATACTGGCATTTATAGATACAATGGAACTGGATAGACAAATAGATATTTTACCAGTGAATATATTGTAGCTACAGCTATAGCAGTGCTATTTTCTCAGCTGCCATTCATAGGCGCTATTTGTGAAAGACGCATTCGACAGCGATTTTATAATACAATTCTGAATGGATATTTTTATTATTTTAATTATTCACTGTATTTCACAAATATCTGCTATTTGGTACTTTTTGTGTTTATATCTAGTATATCTGTCCATTGTATGATTTATGGTGTAAAATTATAGTTTTGCACGCAATAAAATTATCATGATAAGTTAATAATAATAAGCATTTCCACCAATATTGTTATTAGGCTCGGAACCTAATAACGTTATTATGATTTTATTAACTTATCATGATACGAGGGCGACTATTTAAGTTTCTTCAATATGTATGTTTTAGTATTGCCCGATGCAAACCATTGTCATATTCGTAAAGTTGGACATTTTTCATGACCATTTGACTTAACAGGACGAATTTTAGTTTTGTGGTATGGCCACGGTGTCAGTTGGAAAAGGTCAACTTCGCAAAAAAATGAAATTTACAAAAAAGATTATTTCTCATAAGTTTTCAAAAAGAGCTGCCTGCTCAACAGTATTACTTCCGACTCAAGTCGGGGTATGGGAAGGAAGTACCATGCCTTGCCACTGTATACAACTGGTTCACTGAATCCCATCGTCATGGTGCTCGCTACAGTGATCAATTGCGCGATGGTCCTTCGAAAATTGATGTCATCGAGAAAAACTCTGGTGCCGATTGAGTTAGGATCGAAGTTTCTTTTACAGTTAAATTGTGGTATGCCCAAGGATCACAGAGACTCCAATCATTTGGTTCTTCCATGAATTACAACATGAAAAAAATAAATCTTTACGTGTCAACCCACAGCTGCTCAAAAATCGATTGATTTTAATCACATCCAAAAAATCATAACCAATTTGACATAGGATAATAAAAACACGTCTATACGATCGCAATAGAAGCCAAGACATGATTCCAGTAGTTTGGACCTGAAACAAAAACTTGGTTGACTCTCTGAGTCTTCAAACATGAACACAATCGAACAAAAGTTGTTCGTTTGTGAAGTGATAGGGAAAATCGGACCTCATTATTTTACAGTGTTATGTGTCATGTTGCTACCATGCCTTAAGAGGATGAAAGGTCCTTCAATGCTGAATAGTACACAACCATTTGATTGTCAAAAGTCATCACGGGAATATGGAGACCAAAACTCTGAAACTTATAATCCCAAAACATGGCAAAAAGAAGCCCATCAAACAGTCGACTATTTGACCACCCAAAAGATCGAATTGATGCACAATACTCCGTGTACGAATTATTCGGGACCCCTCTGTCCACCAGAGACCAAAATCAGTTGGATACAATATATTTTTCGTACTTGAAATTAGGTGCATATTCAAAAAAGTGCACTTTTTGGAGTGTCATGTTTAAGCTGCTGTCGTAGCCATACCACAAAACTAAAATTCGACCTGTTAAGTCAAATGGTCATGAAAAATGTCCAACTTCACGAATATGACAATGGTTTGCATCGGGCAATACTAAAACATACATATTGAAGAAACTTAAATAGTCGCCTACGTAAAATCATAATAATGTTATTAGGATTACATCTTATACTTATTATGTTTTATCATAATATTTATTTGGATTCATCTTAATAAATACCGTGTTCACTTGACAGCATATTGTTTTTCAGCTTAAAACAATTTTCAACAGATGGCACTACCTCAGACAAGTGAAGTGACCACGGTATTTATTAAGATGAATCCTAATAAATATTATGATAAAACATAGTAAGTATTAGGATGTAATCCTAATAACTTTATTCGAAGCCTGATCATGCCCGTAGCTAACAACACCTCTAATGCGTATTCCGAGTACTAATTGACGTTTGTGACAATATGGCCGTCACGGTTTGGAAAATTCATAATGAATCGATTAAACTGCGTTAAACTGTTAAAATAAAACAGAAATAAATAGATTTTAATTTTTTACATTTTTGAAAATAATTTTTTTTTTGTTTTTTAATTTTGTGAGATTTTCTGTCCACAATATTCAAAAATATTAAATCAATAAAAATGAATTGGTTGACATAACCTCACTTTCGTGTCACAATCGTGATAAACCGATTAAATAATTATTAAAACAGTAGAAATAAAAATATTTTAATTTTTTACATTTTTAAAAATAAAAATTGTTTGTTTTTTTTTTGTAGTTTCCAGAAGTTTCGTGAGATTTACTGCACAATATTCAAAAATATTAAATTAATAAAAAATGAAGTGGTTGACATAACCTCACTTTCGTTTTAATAATTATTTGATCGGTTTATCACGATTGTGACACAAAAGTGAGGTTATGTCAACCAATTCATTTTTATTAATTTAATATTTTTGAATATTGTGTACAGAAAAACTCAAAAAATTAAAAAAACAAACGATTTTTTATTTTCAAAAATGTAAAAAATTAAAATCTATTTATTTTTACTGTTTTATTTTAACAGTTTAAGGCAGTTTAATCGATTCATTATGATTTTGCCAAACCGTGACGGCCATATTGTTACAAACGTCGATTAGTACTCGGAATACACATTAGAGGTGTTGTTAGTTACAAGGTTTATATAGGAAATCCTATACCATGATCGGGCTTCGACTTTATTATGAATTTATCATGATAAGTTAATAAACTCATAATAACGTTAGATCCGATCCTAATAACGATATAGAACATAATAATTATCATCGTAATAAAAATTTATTACGATATCGCAAAACGCAAAACTATATGTAAAATTGCTTACTCTAATAATTTTCTGATCTCGAATTAGTGTTCGGATGCAATTAAACAAGAATACCGATGTCATGGCACCAAGCAGTGCACTAAATACTGCTATAATTAGCCACAAATCTTTCTTCTCATCTTCCTTTTTCTGTATGGAAAAAAGTTTGGAACATATATTAAATATATGCACAGAGAGAAAAAATGTGGTATTTTTAATTCAATTTTGGTAGATTTAATATAAAATCAACCAACAATGAATTAAATTTACCATTTTTGACATCTCTGAGGCATATTTTTCAAAAAAGACTATCAGTTGAATTAGTTTTACCAAATTCATGGGCTAGCGTCATTTGTGGTTTCGAAAAGTTGGTAAAACTTATTCAACAAATATTCACTTTTGAAAAATATGCCTTAGAGATGTCAAAAATGGTAAATTTAATTCGTTGTTGGTTGATTTTATATTAAATCTACCAGAATTGAATTAAAAATACCAGATTTTTTCTTTCTGTGTGATTGCCCGAGAATGAAAGCGAGACTTCTATTCACAACTTATTGAAATGTAACACCACCATACAAAATATGCTGACAGTCTTGCTCTCATTCTCGGACATTCATATATCGATAGAGTATTAGCCACTTTCGGCATTGAAATGTTCTTTAACATTGAAAATCGGTAAATATTTACTAACTGCGTTAAATTACATGAGCTAATATTGTGTAGTAAATGTCTCAAACATTTCCCTTGTATTTTACCACAGCTAATACGAATATTTACCACACGTCATAAATGTCAAATCGCTATATTCACACACAAAATAATAACTTCTCAAATCTAGATGATGATTCGTTTAGAATATGTATTCAGATGACTCTTCGTTCAGTTTAGAAATATATTCGTTTAGTTTAATTTAGTTTAATTGTTAATTATGAGAATTATTTTGATATTTATGATTTTGTAAACTAAACTATTTTTTTTAAAAACCAAACGACGAATCATATGAATACAAATTCTAAACAAATCACCATATATAGTTTTGAAAAGTTATTAATTTGTGTGCACGAATACAATTTGTGTCTGGTAATTCACATAACAAATAAATTAGAACTTTGAAAATCTGTTAAATTTAGAACTCCTACCAAAATAATTGTCTGGAATTTCGAAACGGTCATTTCCTACACTTTATGTCAAAATTGTCTACAGCAGATTGTTTACTGTGTCACGAGCTACAAGCTTACTACAGACAGTCTTTCTCCAAAATGCACAAAATGACCGCTGGAGTCTAGGCTGGAGTGCCGAATATAAAACTGATGAATTTTTGGTATAAAAAAGCACCATCTACCGATTAAAAAACGAAAATGGTGGTGGTGGGATTATGAAACTTCTTGGTGTAGTATGTAACAAATTTCCTACACTTTTATGTTGGTATGAAATATGCTACTTGGTAATCCAGGGGTTAACACAGTACGAAACACAAACCAGAGCGAAAGTGTACAAGTATTGTATTCGTGAATATAGATATATGATTTGACGATCATGTGTGTGGGGGCGTGCGTGTGTGCCAAACACGGCTCGCCAAAAATTCAGTGAACGAAAAATGCAAAACTCAAAACAATTCCACATTACATGATATGGGCAATCCGATTCATCCTTTCGAAATTTACAGTTAGGATGCTTGTCGCATTTCAGGGATATATCGATGCATGTTTCATCATCACAATCAAATTCGTTTTCACCACACGTTGGTGTTGAATTTTTTCCATCGACTGCCTTCTTTTTTGTGAATGCAGTGAAGGAAAGCGAAAATTTGGATTTGAGTCCCTGTTTAGTGGCAAAAAATCGTACATACAAAGTATTCGACTTGGATTCGTGCGGTTCGGCCACAACCCCACAAAAATGTTTTGTCCTAATGGAAATGAAAAAAAATTGTGGAAAATACAGATAAAAATAAAAATAAAGTGAGAAATGAGCGAAGAAAACCAAAATGTTGGCTGCTCAAGCTGCCTTTCCCTCTCTTTTTCAACCAAAAAATGAATTTCACCAAGAAATGTGTTACTTACGGTTCCGATACATTGGTATTATTTCCGATAATATCTAGAAAATTATTTTCGCAATCGTTTTTTTTCTCTAAATCGAACTTATCCACCGAAAGCATGATCTATGAAAATGAAATGGGAAAAGACGAAGAAGAAATCGAAAGTACATTAAGATAAAGATATTACTCACAGAAAAAGTGGAGACGGTTTTTCCGCAAATTATTGCAGAA